CTATTCCTCTGCGGGGCAACCTGCATATGACCAATGAAGCATTCAATCACTCAATCAATCAATCAACCAGTAGGCGGTAGGGTGAAGTGTCTTGCCCAAGGACACAATGACCAGGACAGAGAACCCAGGGATCGAACCAGCGACATTCCGGTTACAGATACGCTTCCCAACCCCCTGAGCCACGGTTGCCAAAATGACATATTAATATGTTGGCATTACTAAATTTGTCTCAGTGCTGACTTTAAATATCCATAAAATCATCACATTCTCTGTAAGATTAACGTCAACTATTGAACGGCGTATATATTAAAGGCTTTAAAACCAAGTTAGTACAAACATCGCTAATGTCACATAACTTTCCCGACATGTGGCCAACAGTAATGTTTTAATGTTCTTCGTTATTAAGCATTCGCACATAAATAAGTAACATAATATTCAGTTCTTACTTTTAAAAGTTTGCTCTTCGGCCGCCCCTCTTCTGCCGTTTTTTTTCCCCGGCAAAATTATCCACACCCACAGCCGCGCTATGCATTCTGGGATATGTTGGGCCACCAAGTCTACACCGCCACATCCTTAAAATTCAGTGAAATGAAGGACGCATTTGAGGGCCGCATTTCGAGCAGCCTTTGAATTGGGACAGCCTTCGTCGCGTCGCTGTGACGTAATTAAAATGCGGTCTTTAAGGCTGCAGACCCTGAATTGGGATACAGCCAATGGCATTGTCCCAATTCAGGGACACAGCCATTTTAACTCCGTGAGACACGTTACATACAGCATTGTTTGACAGAAATGAAAGAGAAAAATGTTTTGTTGGTCATTCATTTTTGTCATGACATCACTTTGATTAGTTGAGTATCTGAGGCTGAGACCACGGGACTGTAAAACATGATTGCTGGGCTTCATTTCTGTGCTGAACAGTCATTCCAAGATTAGTTAGTAAATAACAATTAGTTAATGTTGTTCATGAGACTAAAGTCCTCTCACTGTGGTAATGAAAATATAATATGGCCAATATTATAGTATTGTCAGATTATTATGATTGATATATATAGAGCTATCTATAGATCTATCTACCTTCATAAACATTGAATTCAACCTAGGTCAAAATAAATACAGTATCAGAAAGTAAAACTGCTGAGAAAGTGCTCTTTTAAGTGAAAAACAGGTATGAATGATTATTTCTCGGTGTGTTACCCTGTGGTAATGTGTTTGGGTGTACACCCAGGATCATATTATGACTTTGACATCTTATGACTTTAATTGATATCACTGTTTGTGTCATGGTGTGTGTATGGTTATCAGCAGTCATCTGTACAATTATCAAAGGTTGATTTAAAAACTCTTCATGTCATCTACGTTCATTAAACTGACTCCATGCAGTTCATCTTCTCACCGGCAGAGGGACATAACTCAACATCTCGCCAGAGATAAAAGAGACATTGGTGACGTTAGTGCTGTACATACTGATCTGATTAATATGGAACTTCATGTTTCTTTTATTATATCAATTTTAAAAACAAGCTATTTTTAAAAATAAATAAATAAAAGGAACATGTGAGGCTGAATGTCATTAATATTTATTATACATTGGGTGTACAGTAAAACAGTCATATAGCACCGCCCACAATGTAGTTTTCATTATTTGGGAACAAATCAAAGCAAATACCTAAATGTAACCTAACTGTGAAATTTTACTCCTGAGACCTTCCCTTCTAGACTGGAAGACTGTTCAGTGCTTAATCAAACTGCATGACACTGACAGTCACTTGAGCACAGGGAAGTGCGACACAAACAGACTGACACTCTGGGCTATTTCAGTAAGTCTACAAACATACATCAGTGTGACTGTGAAACCACAAAGCATTACTGTCACGGGACCGAGTGGTCTGTACAGGACTCAAATAAATTACTTAACAGGACTCAGATGTAGAACCCCAGAGCAGAGACAGCAGATGATGTAACAATAATTTATTAGGCTTAAGTGCAAGAAACGTAGCAAGGACAAAAAAAACCCCAGTAAGACGTGGAGTTTGACATGGCGTGGTCTGGGAAACGTGGCTAGGGCAAGGGAAAGGGGCCTGAGATGCAGAGTGGAGCTGAGCAGGGAACAGTCACACTGAAGAGAGAAGACAGTGGAGTTAGGGAGGTAGTGGAGGCAGCTCTGAAGTGGTAAGTTGTAAGAGTAGCAATTCTTACTTGCAGTTGGGGACATAGAGTGTTGAGAGGGGGGTGATGACAATCCAGGGGAGCTGAGTGGCGTGACAAGGCTGACCTGAGATCCGGGGTCTTCAGATGCAGTGTGATGGCAGGAGGGCAGGCAGGTGAGGCACAGAGTGATTTTCAAAATGGTTGCTTGGTATCCTGAGTCCAGAGGTAGAGTGTGAGTCAAAGTGAATTCAGCAACTGCAGCACAAGAAAGTCTCGTTAGTAAGCTAAATCACAGCAAGAACTTGAAGCATAAGGCCTGTCACCAACATGACAAACTGGTAGTGAATGAACATCAAGGTGTGGCTTAAATCCCTCTGGCTTGATTGCCTGCAATAGGCTCCAGGTGTGCAGGAGCTGGAGGAGTTGGCCCTGCCCAGGGGCAGATCCCAGGTAAGTTCAGGGGCCTTATGGAAATTCCAGCCACCCACCGCAGACCATGGCAATTACATCTGAGGCTTAGGGAAAAAGCTTCCAGTGTTCTATTAAACAAAGAGAAAGCATGGATCTGTTATTGATACCATATCTGACCTGCTGAAGGTTTTCTTTGCCTCACTCTCATTTTGTTCTCTGACTCCTCTGTCATGTGAGCCTGAAGCAGCTGTCTGTTACTCATTTCCTCATTCATATAGCTGTTGTCAAACCTCATATCAGAACACATTAATCTACAGTTGATTAAAAACATTGAAATCCCACTTAGAGATTAGCTTGCTCCCTGCAGACTCTTTAAAATGAGTGCTATTATCTTCCATCTATCATCAGTGTAAAGACAGTGATCTGTGGACACAGTGGATTCAAAACTTTATTTAAAACGGTAACTCTTGTTCAGTGATACTTTAACGTGCAGACTAGACGAGGATCCAGGGACTGAACACCAACCACAGCAGCCTCATGTTCCACATTCGTCTTTGACTCATGCGTCTGCTGACATGTTTGAAAATGTTGTCCAGATGTGTTGAATTGGCTGAAAACAATGAACTGAATCTTACACTCAAAATGACACATTGTCAGCGAATGTATCTGCACACATTTCCTTCTTAAAATTTGATTAAGGAAACAGCTCAAATTAAACTACAGTGTTTTCTTTAATATGCAGTGACACCAGTGTAAATTCAAAGTGTCAGATTACAATATAAACAGATAATTTTGGAGGTTAAGTTGATTAACAGGAAAGTTGTGTTTTTTTTAGTTTTATCTATTTATTTTAAACAATAAAACTCTGATCAGACATTTCCAGATAATCAAAAACAGATCAGTTCAGTTTTTGGACAAGTCCTGTGTCAGCTCCTTTCTGGGTCTTTCTTTCCTTTTTACAGTTTCACTTCATTTTCCTGAACTTGAGATCACATTACTGCCTCAGTCTGAAGCTCTGTAACACAGTAAGGAATCTTTCATTTTTTACCTGCAGAAACAGCAAAAAAATTGCTTCATAGTTCAAAATAACAGAGAAAAATCTGGAATTGGGAAGATGTGAACAAAGGAAGCTGACCAACAATCCATCTGACATCTTGTGTGTGAGTGTGAACAGAAAGTCAGAATACGAACTCATACTATGGTCAAGATATTAGAGGTATTAAGTAATTTATTTTGAAACAGTTACTAAAATGTTATATTCTGTAACTTTCTTCTGTATGTTTCTAGTGCTGTCTTGAAGTACGTTTTTCAGTACTTCCTCATTTCACAGTTACTTCACCTACTTACAAACTCAGTTAATGTGTTCAATATTTATGTTTGAATGCTTAAATGTTCTTAAACGCCAAGTTCTTCCCCACTTTTAACTCTGCTGATCCTCTATGAATTATGGATCAGCTGAAATGTTTGAAAATGTTCAGATGTGTTGACCTGACTGAATATTAATGAGCTGAAGCTTCCAGTCAGAGTGAATCAGTGTGTCAGTGAATGCATCGTGTGTGCTTCATGGCTCCATCTAGTGGACTGATAGTAGAAGTAGAGCCGCTGATGGCAGCTTCCTCTGCCTCACACTGCTGTCTAACTGCATTCAGCTGACACTGAGAGGAAGCAGAAAAGAAGCAGCTGATATTTGGACAGCACACATGATGGAAAGGAGGATTTCAGTTGATGTGCACATGAATGATTTGTGTTTCCTTGGAAGGTGAAGGTAGAAAGTGTGTGTGAGCTGATGTGGATGAGAATTCAGCAGCATGGATCAGTGTGAGGACAGACAGGAGGGAGTCCCTCCCTCTAAAACCACTCTGTGTGGGGAACATGAGAGCCAGACCAAAGCTCAGAGGTGAGATGACCACCTCTAACTGTCCATGACTCTTCTCCATGTCACAGCTCAGCACTCACATCACTGCTCCATCATTATTCACAGGAACCAACCTGGAGCTGAACCCAGCTGTGTGTCCTTAAAGAGTGACGGATCAAAAGCGAATATTTTAGATTTTCAAAAAGCAGCATCAAATAATGCAGAGTAAGTGCTTCTCATTGTTTAGATTGGACTGAAAAATATCCCAGGGGACAAATTGTAATTCAGTTAAATTAAACTATATTTAATCAATTGAAGAAACTGTTAACTTTTTTTATTTTAAATTTTATTTTCTCTTTTTTCCGTCGGGCTCCATTGCAGACCAGATTTTTCTGGAGCTGAACCCAGCTGTGTGTCCTTAAAAAGTGACTCGTCAATGTATATCCCTGTAGGTTTTAAGGAAGGACACCATTCGGCTGCAGAAAGGTAATCTGTATCTAAATGTTGGAACTGACTTTATTTATTTAAACAGTTTGACTGAATAGTCTCTGACATGTTTAATGTCAGGTCAGATCTGTTTCACACACATTTCTATATTCATGTTTAAAGTGGTGTGCGATGGAGTTTGTTTCAAAAACACAGCAGTTAAAGTGTAAGGAACCAATGCTGTAGCAGAGATGGTGGTCAAACTACAATATTCAGTTTAATATTTCAAAGTTCAACAATACTATGTACAATATAAACAAGTCATGATGAGGAGTTATAAAGTCTGATGGACACGTACAGGAATGATTTCCTGTAGCATTCACTGGTGGAATGAGCTTTTTCCTGAATGTGCTTTCCAACATGAAATGGAAAGGATGTGAAAGATTGTCAATCACTCCCATTTGTGTCATCCTTTGTGAAATGCCTGCCAGAGAGTCAAGCTCCACACCCACGTTAGTGACCTTATGGATTAGTTTATTGTCTTTTGCTATCCACTAACCCCCGTCTACAGCCCCAGCACGCAGCAGAATAGAGACTGGCACTGACCACAACAGACTCATAAGAATTCCTGAGCATCACCTAGCAAATGTCAAAGGACCTCAGTAATCTCAGAAAATAGAGTGAAGAGTGTTTCTGTGTTTGTTTGCTTTTTTAATGAAGTCCAGTTTATTGTCAGTCTGAACATGGCACTTGCCATCTTCCAATGACTGCACACAGACCCAATAGATATAGTTCTCATTGGTTCTTCTGTTCCTCCTCATGTCCACACCCCGGTATTTAGTCTTTGCATTGAGTTGCAGATGGTTCTGCTCAGATCACACAAGTAAGTTACCCAGCTTCAAAAACAGTTTTAATGCTGAAGTCTTTCAAAAAAATTACAAAAGCAACACAGTGCTGGCAACAGGAATGCAAAAACTCTGAGTCACAGGGAAACCAGAAACCAAAGGAACACACAGCATGAGGGGAGGGGGGGGGGGGGCACAACAAACGAGGGTTTAAAGGTTTAAATACATAAGAGAAGTTGAGGCCATATTGGAGACACCTGGGAAGAAACATACAACTAAATCTGAAAGAAGACAGATTGCCAAAATAAAACAGGAAGTAGCAGTATACAGAACACAGAAATGCAGACTTTACACAGGGAATGAAAAGTAAGCTAAAACAAACAATACAAATAAGCTAGGATAATAAATTGAACCCAGATAACTTTAACCACTTTAAAGATCGCCTGAGGAAATAAAACCAACAAAAACAACAAGGAAACATTTAAAAAATGTACAAAACTTAAAAATACCACAAACTCACCAAGATAAATTCAGATTTATCTTGGGTGACTGGAAAATGTTTGACAGTAATAGCTAAAACAAATGTAAAAGGGAATTAGATCATGAGGAGACAAAGTTGTATGTTGAAAACATACATTAGACAGAAATATGCCTCTTCAAGACATTTATAACATGTTTAGAACATATTTAGAAGAAATGGTACAATAATTGACTACAAACATAGACATTTTCTGAGAACTGGAAGGTGAGCTGTGAAACCAGTTATACATACAGATAGAGAAGGGCTTTTATTTTAGCTGAAACTAATGGAAAGCTGTCAGGACAAAACAAAGCTTAGTTAACATTTTCAAACAGCTGCAGGCTGAGCTGCTGATTATCAATGGCATTATCAGGACTAGTAAAAATTTACGACTAAAGGGAATCATCTGATTCACTGCTCACATTCAGACCTCACTTCATGAGCGTTTAGCTTGTGGTTGACTCTGTATGAACAGACCTGATGTAAACTAATTCTTCATGATTCCTCCACAGAGTGGACCAGGAAAGCTCAGAGGTTGCCAGAGATCAGTCTGACTGGCAGAATCGTGCACATCTGGACTCCATATTTAGGGTCTGTACAGGGTGTGAGGGTTACTCAGACCATGGCTCAGATTGGTGGGTGAATGGGATGTGGGGATGTGCCTGTGAAGGTTCTCAGTCATCCAGGTCATAGTAGTCTGAGGAGCTTGGAAAGAAAAGTGTCTGGATTTCTTTAAGTTGCTTGAAGATGTTTCACTTCTCATCCAAGAAGCTTTTTCAGTTCTAGGGTCAAATGGTGGAGAGTCCCAGATTGAAGCCCTCGAAAGAGTGAACTCTTTCCAGTGTTCACATTTTGGACAGAGTAGACAGATGATTTGAAAGCGGAGTGGAAGAAGTCATCTTTGTCCACTGTGAAAAACCATCTTTGAACAGTGGCGGTTGCATACGACACCAACTGTCTGCCATCTATAATTCAGTTTTGAGATCTCTTCCCATACACCTTAACGCCCACTCACATCCTGGGCCATCTGACCTCAGGAATCATTTGGTAGGGTGGGGCTGGTTTCACAATGAGCTCACCCAAAACTTTGGCTGATTGTGACTACACCCATTTTCACACCTTGACTCATGTGATTAGGTAGAGGATAATTAGGGAGTCCATTGTCCCTCTTGAGGGGATTCTCCCACAGGGCTTAAATCTGGGACTCTTCACCATTTGACCCTAGAACTGAAGGAGCTTCTTGGATGAGAGGTGAAATGTCTTCAAGCAACTTAAAGAAGTACAGACACTTTTTGTCTTTGGTGGCCAGATTGGAGGGCACTATGATAAAATCCAGTGAAGACTTTTGGCACTGGTTTTAAAAACACAGCACACTTTATATGTCTTATTCTTATACACGCAAGGTGTCTCTGTTCACTTTAGCAAAATCCAGCACCAGTGTTGGGAAGGTTACTTTTAAAATGTATTCCACTACAGATTACAGAATACATGTCTCAAAATGTATTTTGTAACGTATTCCGTTACATTACTCAATGAGAGTAACGTATTCTGAATACTTTGGATTACTTCATATAGTATCATGCTTTTCACAACTACATGAATGTACTATTGCTGTGTGATTTATTACTTTTACTGAAGGTTATTTGCCATATCAATTCCAACTAGACTATATAATAGCTTACTTACAACTGGGCTCGTTAGGCCATCTTTTTGACTGCAGTCGTTATTATTGTATTTATATGCTTCCATCTCCTGTTTCTGGTTGGTGACAACTCGTACTTTTTGACTCTCCTTTTTCTATGAGGTGCCGTAAGGGACATTATTACTGAAATGCTCTCACACACACAACTGAAACGCTCTCACACACACAACTGAAACGCTCTCACACACACTACTGAAA